TCAACTTCAACACCATATTAGCAATTTTTTAAACCGAATTAACAATTCTTCTACTCTTGGTACAACTACTCATATCCGCCTTTAACAACTCCAAAACAATCTTTGGTCTACTACTAATATTCTCCAACACTCTCACCCTATTGTTGACGGCCCCAACAAGCACACTACTACATTTAAAATTATACAACTTCTGAATTATGTCCAAACCTCTATACATGCATTCCCTAACTCTTCCTGGCCTAAAACCATAAATGATAGCAATACTCCTCTTGAAAACATTCTGACAAATCACCCCAAATACAACACTTTCAAACAACAACTTTGCCACAAAAATATTTTATATCTTGAACAACTATGCTTATCTGACAATAATACTCTTCTAAACTGGCTACATTTATCTTCCAGACTTCTACATATCCCAACAGGGAAAAAACCACTCTGGTTTTCTTATCTAGAAGATACTATTCTTGAAAACAATCACCACCGCACTATTTTTCCCCACTTCCAACCTACAGGCATAAACCGATTTGCCTACCAAACCAACCCTTTTTTCAAAACCCACAAATCATGGGTTCTGACCCTCCACAATAAAGATATTATTATCGGCCAAATTCGCAAAACTCTCACTCACACTAATACTATATCCATAACACATTGGCAACATAACATCGACACTTCTGCTCACTACTGTTACCCTCTACCACCTATTTCCTGCACTCACTACCAAGGTTGCAACCTCAACTCAAACCATATATCTAGTTGCTGTACTTTAGAAGTATCTGCTATTCTTTCTACTTATTTTTTGGGTAGGAAAAAAGCCAACAAACAACTTAACTTCAATGCCAACTATATTGACCTCATACACTTCACTGAAATCAAATATCCAACTAACTTACCCTTACCTTCTACCATAAATATCAATGTAACTGACTCACTTATCCCTGCTATCTTCAATAACAGTGATGCCTCTTCAAAATTAATTGAGATTTCATTATCCAACCTATCCCAACACCAATTTACCTTCTACACCGACGGCTCTGTGAAACAACTTGGCACTAACCAATATTCAATGGGTATTGGCTGGGTCCAAGTTCACCAAAACCAAGTTACCCAAAGTTTCTCTGCCCAAATTCTCAACTGGCCCTCCTCATACAAAGCTGAACTACTAGCAATAATCTCAGCTATTTCTACACTTCCTCGCAACTCAACTATAGAAATCTTCACTGATTCACAATCTGTTATCTCTAAATACAACAAACTTTAGACCTTATCATCCCATTCACCAAAACAATTCAAATTCAATGTCTGGCCTATCTGGCACATACTCCTCAATATCCTCAAAGCCTACAATATCCAACTCTTCTTTTACAAAGTTTAAGCCCATTCTGACAACCTTTTTAATAATCTTGCAGACTTACTAGCAAATAACCACTTTACCTCACCAATCCTATACTTTAACTACATTAATCTTTACAACCTATTCTCTATCCTGCAATAGAATAATAGCTTTATCGAAAGCCCTACCAAACAATTTATTAAATCAATCTAAAAAGCCCAGAATATCACTCTATAGTCCTCACAATATCGTGCCCATAAATGGTCTCACTTCTCTCATCTAATCGACTGGAAAGCCTCTTGGCTATACTTTAACAACAATCAAAAAGTATAACACAACTTCACCAACCCTAAATTAAACTATCTAAAATCTTTTAAAATCAAAATGCTTCTTAATATTCTCCCAACACATGCATATTTTTACTCTATTTACCCCCCTTATATTTATATCTTCTAATTGTTTCCTATGCAATCAGCCCGATATCCCCTCTCACTGGTACTCCTGTCCTGACAATACACTCTTAACCCAAACTATTAACACCTCAACTTATAATATCATCTCCAACACTAATCTCAACCTTACGACACACCAACTAAATAATCTAATACACACTATCACTTCACACCCTTCCTTCAATCTCTCTCCATCATAGCTATACCCCTACACTCTTGATTCCACACTTAAAGGTCTCATACCTACTGCTCTAATCCAATCTCTGGACCTTTTCGAAATTTCTTACTCCCAAGCCTCCCAACTTATTATCAAAATACTTTTAAAAATTTCTGATCAACTTTATAATAATATCTGGATCACCTATTGCTTCAACTTTTCGCATTAGAAAAAAGTTCATCAAATTCTATCATGTATCAATACTATACCTCAGCCCTCTCTACTCTCTAGAAACCACAAAAACAGAATTATCTATATATACAGTTGCCCCTGTGGCTATGCTGACTAGCTACACTCTAACTCTAACACATGTCCTCTATTAGGATAAGCCTTTCTTAAACACAATATTTGGTCCACTATGTGGATTCAATATAGCACACCCATTAATCATATTTTAACTATTCAAATCTAGATGAGTCTTGACTACTCTAGTAGGTTTAGGTCACGGATAAATCAGTCTGAGCTTCTATTCTTGTATGTAATTTATATTTATTTGTTTGTATACAAATTAAGTCTTTATATAGTCTTTATGTAATTACTTATATAAATTATCTAATAAAGATATGAGCATGGCCTCACCTTAAAACCAAAAAAAAATAATAATAATATTTTATGGTTTGTGAGAAGGTATTGTTTTGGTTTTTAATATAGTCAAAGTAGGTTATAATTCAGGCAAGGAAATGGGTATCAATGATGGAGGGTGTGGCTCAAGTAATAGCTTCTTGTTTGGAGTTGTTAAGGATATTATGGTTTTCTAATATAATTTGATAGTAGAGAGCTAGGTATTTGTAAAAATAAACTTTGTGATAGTTTGGGCTAGAAGTAATATTATTAAGTTTGCAGACTACTTCTTTTGCTTGTTTAGCTAGGTCTTCGAGTAGTTTGGTAGGTATAGTTGTTTTGAGAGTAGCTTCATGCTTTGCATCAATAAAGAAGATGAATAAGTCAAGTTGAGGTTCTTTAAGGGTAGGGTGAACATAGATCAATTTCTATATATGTATATTATCTAAAAAATTTTATACAAAAATTAAACATATGTTATATATAAAAGTTTTTAAAAATATAATTTTTTTTTATAAAATTTTTACAGTATATACATTAAACCTGTCTAATTATGATTATATAATTTTAAACTGCTGTTATATTCAAAAAAATATACTTATATATATCGTTAATTCTTTCTAGAATAACTAAAATTTGCCTAGATTACACAATATAAATAACACATGATCATAATCTGATTTCAATTGAATATTGTTGTAAAAAAATTAGTAACATGATCACTAGTAAAATTAATCAATGTTTACCCTACCTTTAAGTAATTTAGATTCTTTTTTGGGATAAAAAGTGTATAATTTTATGAGAATATCATTATATAGTTAGTCTCAATTATGGAGAAATTTTTCATTTAAGTATTTATAGTCTTTTTTGTTGCAGGTTAGCATGTGATAGTTGGTGGCTTTGGTAGCTTTGTGTTGGCATTGGAGTGGTTTGTAAGGTTCTTGGAATTCAAAATTTGGTGGTAGAAGGTTTCAGAATTTGAGAACAAATTGTTAGCGAATTTTATTTTTAAGGAGTAAGTATATTTCTTTTTCATTTGGTGAAGTGTCGAATTGGTAAACATATATTAGAAAGAATCTATTAAACCAATCTTTGTAAGTGTTTAAAGAGTTGGTTAGAGGTAAAGTGCGATAGTTTTGTAAAAAAAGAGTTTTGGAGATATTGAATAAGAGATATTAAATTAAGAGTCAGATTTGATTTCAAAGTAGAGTTTGTCTTCATCAAAGCTTTCAATTGAAAATTCCGCTTTAGGATGTTTAGGTCTAAAGTCAAAGTCTTTAGTGAATTTTTTGTAGTTAATAGTTTGGTAGTTGTTTGATAAATAGAGATATAGTTGTGCAATATTTAGGCAAAGTTGAAGATAGTTTTAAGCTTTATATAGTGGGACTGTGATAGGTAAGGCAAAAATTTCTTTGTAGTTTAGTTTAGTAAAAAGAATAGTAGTAAATTGTAAGATAATTATTCTAAGAGTAGCTTCAAAATAAGTAAATAGAATAGTAGTATTGGGGTCAATGTTAGGATTGTGTTCAAAGATGATATTTATTAAAAATTGTGGCTAAGATTCAGCTATAGATCAGAGAAGATGTTTGAAAGAAGCCTTATAGATTGGTTGGTTTGGCTTTTCAGGTTTGATTTCTCTTCTAAAAAAGAAGTCATAAAGATTAGTTTTTAAAAGTTCAAATAGTTGATGAGAGAATTTGGTTTAGAATTTTTTGTTAGATTCCATATCTAGAGTAATAGGAAAGTTAAGTAGCCAGTCAAATAAAGAATTGGGTTTGGGTTTAAGTTTAGATTTAGGTATAGGTTGGGAGTTAGGTTAAGATATTAAGATTGAGCTTTTAGATTAATTGTTGTTTTCTTTGCTATTAGTATTGGTTTCAGAGAGGTAGATAGTGTTATTAGTGGGTTTGATTGTATTGAAGTTTGGAGAGTTAGTGGTATTATTATTTAAAAAGAATTTGTTAATAGCAAAGAGCTCTTGAGAAATAATCAGTTGGTCAATTTTTATGTTTGTACTAAGGGTGTTTGTAGTTGGGGTTTTTTGTATAGAGTGAGTGGAAAGAGATTGGAGAGGGGGTTTAGTTGAGATTTAGGAGTTATAATAGGTTGTTGAAAAAGTTATCAAGAGTACTAATAGGTGAGGATTGAACTTTGGTTTGTGTTTTGGTTGAGTTTTGCTAGTTGACTAGTTAAGTTATTGCTATTTTAGATGTTGGGATATGTAAGGTGTAGATAGATTCTCTGTTGTATCATTGTTAGAGAGTCTTGAAAGTTGTTTCATATATTGTCTAATAATATTGTCAGATGGGCCAGAGATATAAAAAACTGATAAAGAGGTATTAGTAATGCAGCTAGAGTGGTAATAGTTTTCACCATATTTAATAGAGTCGCCTTAAGGTAAATGATAGTTGTTAACCGATTTGCAGTTGATTACTTGGTTGCATGCTGGGCAGGTATGAATATGAAAGAGAGATGAAGGTGTAGTTGGTACTTCTTCAGTATGTACTTTTTGTTGTAGAATTGGAAATTGCAGGATTGTTTGAGTTGTATCTTTAAGTTTTTGTATAAGCTTTTTAGTTTGTACAGCTGATATGGTAGCATTTATATTAGTATTAAAATCATAGATTTTGTTGTCTTTTGCTACAAATTTAGTATGTTATTTTTTACAAAAACAAGTAATTGTAGCAGTAGAAAGTAGAGCAGAAAAGAAGTGTATAACTTTTTAAGAGTTGTGAAAATCCTTGTTGAAGCAAGCTGTTGGTCTAAAGCTTTTAGGGATTGCTTTGGTGACTTCTGGTTTGTTTTTGTATATTGCAACTTCATAGATTCCAAAGTTGTTTTGGTAGAAATAGTTGAGGTTGAGAGTGTCTGGCTCTTGGCTTGTTAAAGTAGGCATTGCTATAAGGTCTGTTAGGAGTGTATTTGGAGATGTAACAAGTAATTACTGAGTATAACAAATAATCATAGAGTGTGACAAATAATCACTAGAGTATAACAAATAATTGCAAGGTGTGACAAATAATCATAGAAGTGTGACAAATAATTACAGGGTGCCAAGTGAACACAGGTTTGATTTTCATGTGTGACAGATATATGTGTTATGTTAATTTGGTTGGTGCTAAAGGTTATTCCATTTAAATTTAATCCCTTAATTAGTAAAGATTTGCAGACAAATTTGGCTGCAAAATTACTATAAATATATCTCTAATCTACTTTTTTAATTATTTAAAATATTTAAATAAAATTTAATATGATAATATTTGAAAATAAGGATTATATTTTTACAGTATTTGTATTTATATTATAAGACAAAATTTTAAGATTGTTTATAAGCTAAAAATAGATAATTTTAAAAAAAATTTTTAACTAAAAAATTATATTACAATTTATTGGCAAACTCTTTAAATATTAATTTTAAAAATATAGTTCCTAATACAATATTGTAGTTTAAACAAAGAATGTCAACTTTCATTATTACACTTTTAGTAATTTACTTATAAAAATTATAACTTGGCTTAGAAGCAAAGATTTATATATAAGCAAAAACATATAAAATTTAAAAAAATTTAAAGAAAAAATTTTATAGTAAAAATTTTAATACAAGAACTTCAAACTTTTATTATACTAAAGTTTTCTAATAATTTTAAAAAATTTTCTTAACAAAGTTAATAAAACAAATCTAAAATTAAATATTTTATTTAGAAAATATATAGCTAAAATCAATATTTAAAATTTTATTAGAAAAATTTAAAATTTAAAAAAAGTTGCAGCCAAATTTGGCTGCAAAACAATTTAAGGGATAAGGCCAAATTTGTTAAAGTTTTAATCTAGTACTAAATTAAAAAAATTAAGTTTAGTTAGTGTACTTAAAAGTGAACCACTAAAATTTAGAGCCCGGGCAGTGTAAGTAATGCAGTGGAAAGTTATACAAAAAATGTATTTAAGTATTTTTTAGGGGCAAAAGACAGAAGAAAAAAAAAAAAGAAGTAATGGGAGTTTAGAGTTTTTTAGATATAACGTCATCAGTTTTGGGTCTACAAGCTTGAGGTATAGCTTGTTATGATGAGAACAACAAGCTTTTTAAGTTTTTCTTAAGCTTGGAGAAGAGGTTTAAATAGCAGTTTTCAAGTTATTTACAATTTTTTTAAAAAAAGGCCAAAGAGCCATTTTTGATAAGTTTGAAAAGTTTAAAGCTAATACTTAAGTATTATATATATTTTTGTGTAAAAAACAAGTTTATTTAGTAGCAAAACTAAAATTAACTTAGTAAAAAAAGAAGTTAGAAGCTGTTTTTAATTAATTAGATTGGAGAGAGTTTGTGTATGAGTAATAGATAGGAAGAGTTCTAGTTATATAAATATATAATAATTATTAATATTATATAATCTCTAAAAATTTTAATATATCAATTAAATTAATCTTTTTTTTTATTAATATAATGTCATAGTAGAAACTTTATTACAATAAACCTATATTAATCTAGAGATTAATGGTCCTTCTGTTACTAAGAAGACTTGGGTAAGGGGGCAGATAAGTCACCTGACCAGGCTGCCAAATTCCTTCAACTCAGTGCTA